GAAAGAATATCTATTAAGAGGAATTTCACAGTTTACTGTGGCTGATGCACCTAATAGTAATTTCCTTTGATGAAAACCTTTATTATAAGTTGCTTGAGCAGGCCTTTCCTCTGCGGCTGTTGATGTATCAAGAAAATAAAATTCGTTTGTAGCAACACTCTGGGCATATGAAGGATTATATTCGAGTAAATTTGTAATATTTACAACATGATTCGCATAATTACAACTATAAACTTCTCGTCCATTTACTAGGATACTTAATTTTTCTATAAAGGAGTTACTACCATTTACAATTCCATTATGGTCAGCAACCGCTATATTTCCTCCATCTGCCAGCTTATTTACTTTAAAATCCATTGATAATCGTGCGTTATACCAATCAAAAGGAGTGGATTCTCCTGTATTGTCAGCTACAAATCTAAGACCTGTTTTAGTTTGGTGAGCGTTATTTGCTGGAGCCGCATCTAAAGTCTGTTCCAGGTCATAAACAACATCTTCATATCTATCTAAATATTTTGGATTTCTAAAAGACTTCATTTTATTTTAATAATTATATAATTTTCTCCTACGTGTTGAACCTCCACTAAGAAGGTTATTCAACATTTGATCTATCTCTTGTTGAGTTATTGTTTCGACATTTTTATTAAAAGTATCTTTTTTTGCAGGGGGGTTTCGGGGGGGTGCATCCCTCCCTTTTGTTAACATTTGCACTATTTTATCACCGGCCTTTTTGCCAACATGTTCACCGGTTTTTGTTGCGGCTGTTGTTACTGCTTTTTCAACACCCTTTTTAGCGGCTTTTTTCATTGTCTTTCCAAATATTTTTTTACCAAACGATTTAAAAACATCTGTTATTCCTTCCCCATAAATATGTTGTCTTGTATATCTACCCAATTCAGGGTCAAGTTTCTTTTTATACTCTGATTGTCGCATCATTTTTATCTAATGAATATATTCCTTTTAAGGGAGAGGTTATAGGGGAACCGTAGGTTCACCTATTTTACATGGAGTGAAGTATCAAAGTCATAAACCAATCAAGACCATTAAAATTTACAGGTCTTCCAAGTGAGTCTGCCACATAGATTTTCATTTCATCAATGTGAAATGAAGAGACAGGACAATACAATGGTCTTTTAGGTTCGAAAGTAAATGGATAAGACCTTGTGAGATTATCGGTTGGTATCACAGCTATGGTATTTGTATTTATTCCATTTACAATACTATCAGTTATTGCGGTTGTGTTGATATTTAACACATCAATCGAATTTGTGATATTTGGTAGTTTTGATCCATAATCTGTTTTTGTTATGAGTTTCTTTTCAAAACCAATTAGGTCTCCAAATTCTGTTCCTCTCAGATCAAGTTGATAATCACCATCGAGTGATACTAAAACACGATAGGTGGATAGTGTAAAAGTTAGATTGATTGAATACTTTTTTCTCCTTTAGAATCTGTTGTGTGGTGAGACTTTTGAGTCATATATTGATGAATGTAATCATTGATATCTGAGTAGGAATACATTCCATCTGTAAAAGTAATTGTTTGCCAGTTGGTTCCATCATGAGTGTATTTAATTTTATTGTTTCCATAATCACTTCTAATGTTGTACCAAGAATAAGTCATGGACAACCGATCAAGAGCAAGTTGATGTTTTTTTTCAGGGTCGAGTTTCAAAGAAGGATTAAATTTGATAGTAAAATCACCAGGTCTGCTTGTTCCTCTTTTTTCTCTGTTTATCGAAGAAATGTGAATAGCTCGTTCTTCCATTTTATCTATTGTTTATATAGTGGAGCCTACGGTTCCCCTATAACCCCTCCCTTTTATAAAAAAGTTTTTATTAAGTTATGTAGTTGTTTATTTGAAATTACTTTCATTTGGTTTAGAAGATGAGCAATTTGAGAAAACTCATTTATCACACCATTATTCCCAGCTAGAATTGAACCACCGAGTAATTCAAGTCTATCAAGAAGTTGATGTGGGTTGTTAAAGTAAATTATTCCAGAGCCAGATTTTGTTTTATAATACTTAAGATTAATTAAATTTGTTGCATATATGCTTAATGTGTTATATTTTTTTATAAAATTTTTTGTGTTTTCACGTGGATTTTTATTTACTGGTTTAGCTATAAAATAACCGTTTGAATCACGTTCAAAAACTGCGTTATTTTTTATTGCTTTACTAGTCTCTTCTAAATCTTCTTTAACATCTTCGATTACTTTATCAATGGTAGAAACATTCTCTTCAAAATACTCAGAAGGGAGTTTGTAGTATTCATTAACTTAAAGTATATCTTGTGCTTCTTTTTTCATTAAATTTCTATCGAGGTCTTCACGAGTAAATTTTGCTATTTTTGGTCCTTCGTCTTCTTTAGGCTCTTCAATCGCCTCAAAACCAGGTAATTGAGCCATATCCCATTTTTTTACTTCGTCAAGTTTATCAAATCCTTCAGTTATAGCCATCCTGTTTTGATTAAGACCTTGTGTAAGAGCAAGTTGATTAGCTTTGAGTTGCACTATAGTTGCGTTTTGTTGTTCGTCGATACTTTTTTTAATGCTATCTTGAGATTTAATAAGTGGTTTAAATGTCTCTTTAAAACCTTCCCGCATATCTTGTTTTTGCCATTTTGTTGTTTTTATAACATCTCTAACCTCTCGTACCAAAGCATCGGCTTCGATTTTATTTCTTGCAAAATTTTTAGCTTCTTCTATATCCATTTTATCTATTAATTAAATAAAAATGGAAATTCCAAACTATGATAGTACCGATGACATTGATAAAAAATATAAACAGTTATTTCCTTTTATGCCAGCGGATACGTTTCGAATGTTAATCTGTGGAAACAGTGGAAGTGGTAAGACTAATCTTTTGTATCACATGTTAATCAAACCACTGTTGCATTACGATGAGATTTATCTTTACGCATGTAATCTAGAACAGGATAAGTATCAAAAGTTAATTCAAAAAATGAGGGAGTTGAGTAGTAAAATTGGATATGAAATACTTCATGTGAGTAACGACGAAATAACCCCGGTTACAGAAATGGATTACGAAGACAATCAAAAACTTGTAATATTTGATGATTACGTCTGTGATAAAAACCAGAGGCGACTTATTGATTATTTTATTCAAGGACGACATAAGAATTGCTCTGTAATCTACCTCAGTCAATCATTTTACAAAACTCCAAAGGATATTCGTCTAAATTGTTCTCACTATTGTGTGTATGAATTTCCATCATCGAGTGAAGCAAACAGAATATCATTTGAGTTGGGAGTTGACAAAGAGATATATAGGGCAGCAACAAAAAAACCCTTTTCATTTTTATATGTTGATAAACCAAAAAACGTATTGCAAAAAACTTTACTAGTAATCTAGATAGGTGAACCTACGGTTCCCCTATTACCCCTCCCTTAAATAGTAATCTATCCTAATAATAAAAAATGGGAATATTTAACGAACAATCTTTTGATCATCCTTTTGCTAAAGGAATTCAGGGTGCTCCAGGAGTTGGATTTAGTCTAACCGCAAATGGTAATTATGATATTAATAAAAAAAGACTCACAAATGTAGGAGCACCAAGTGATAATGAAGATGCTGCTACAAAAAAATACGTAGATGATAAATCTAAAGATCCACACTCTTCAACTCAATTAAATGTTGATTCAAATATTGATATGAAGGACCAATTTCGTATTCTTAACCTCAAACATCCGGTTGACGCAGATGAGCCAGCCACAAAACAATACTCAGACAGCAAATTTCTTGACAGAAATGGTTCCCGAACAATGATTGGTAATCTAAGCATGAATAATAATAAAATAATTAAAGTTGGCACACCAACAGCTAATGATGACGCAGCAAACAAAAAGTATGTGGATGATAAATCAAGCGGATCACTCACAACAACAAGGCTAACAGTTGATTCAAATATTAATATGAAGGATACATACCGAATTACAAATCTTAGCACTCCACTAGATGGAAAAGAACCTCCTACAAAAGATTATGTAGACAACACATTTCTTGATAGAGATGGTTCCTACCCAATGAAAGGTAATCTCAATATGGATAATAAACAAATATTAAATCTACCAACTCCAACGGGTCCCAAACAACCAACACCATTAGGTTTTACAGATTTAAAGTATGTGGCCGTGATGGTTCATCTACAATGACTAATAATCTAAACATGGATAATAAAAAAATAATTAACCTTAGGCCACCGACATCAGACAATGATGCAACAAACAAAAAGTATGTGGATGACTTAATACCTGATACTAGTTATTTTATAAATAAAGATGGAAGTATATCAATGACTAATAACCTAAATCTTGGAAACAAAAAAGTAGTTGGTCTCGCAACACCAACAACAAATACAGATGCCGCAAACAAAAAGTATGTGGATGATAATGTTGGAAGTATAGATTTAAGTGATTATTTGGAAAAAGATGGCACTGTAACTATGACTGGGAACCTTAATGTTGGTAATAATAAAATAATAAATCTTAGTAAGCCAACCCAAGACAATGACGCAGTAAATAAAGATTACGCTGACAAACTAGTTAATCACACTGCAGTTCAACCAAGTCATTACAAGGATCAGTTTGCTTATCTTATGTCAAGTGGTTCTCAATGGACTGATGAAATAGATACCGGAACCAGTTTTGTTATAAAAAAAATAGGAGATTTAGCACCAAACAAAGGAAACTTTCATAATTATAACCACAGAGTTATTTTTATGGGTATAAACAAAAGTTCTCAAGGTGGATATAAGTACAAATGGGAATCAACTTTTTCAGGTTAAGTAATAATGAACGATTATCCCGTCGGTAGGAATTTGTAGAAATGCACGCGGGGGGCTGTAGGAATCCTGCAAGAATAAGCCAATCAAATTTCTGTCCTGTAAATACGTCATGTATTAGGTGCGACAGTGCACATTTCAAGCCACGTGCGAGCTCTGTTAGCGGCTGTTGTGCGCGCAGTGTTGCGTTTTCAGGATGCCTCCAAAAAGAAAGAACTTCAAAGGCCGTAGTCCTAATGTACTACGGTACATCGAAAGCTGTGGAAATGAGGAAGATATTGGGAGCTTTCTATCGTCCAATCTCGCAGCGGGCGCAAGGCTCGCGGCAGAAAACGAAAGCCAGGCACACGACGAGAAAACGAGTCAGACCTATGAGCTCCGGCTCATGTCTTTGGAGCAGTTTGCTCAGCAAAATGGAGATGATGCTGTGTTGTTTGGGCCTAGTAAAAGGCCCTTTTTGGCGGCAACAATCCAGACCTACATGCGTAAGTTTGTCGGTTTTATGCTTCTCTGCTTGTATGGTGGGTGTGATTTTTTTAAAAAAAAAAAAAGTAGTGAAGTCGTTTAATTCAGTAGCGAGATAACACAAGAAAATGTCGAAACATATTTTCGTCTTTTCTTAATTCATGTGCGACTTGAAAGAGTAACGTTACTTTAATGTTCTGTGAATGTAGCCGATCGATCACCCCGCTACTTATTAATAAACTTAGGCTTTTAGAATGTGACAGCTAATTTTCGTGCTTGCTATATACTGAATGGTTTAGACGAATGCGTGGGCCGGCTGTGACGCAGGCTAGCTTTTTGTCTTTAGCACTCGTTTGCTTGTCCCAAAAACCAAGATCCGGGAACAGGCCATCTGTGGCAATTTCAAAGCTGCTAGAAGAAGCTTGCGCCTTGATTATTTAAAAAGCATGGAGTAATTGATCCTCTTATTTCACAACTCTTGAAAACTCAAAAGCTTGGTAGATTTCACACCTAAATATTAAACCGGAAGTTCCGTTCACAAGGCAGGGCTTGGTAAACGGCTGTTCTGAAAGAAAAATAAAGGAGTTTGGGGGCCGTTACTGTGCTAACCCTTTAAGTCCCATTGTCAAGAGGATATGAAAATTAACGAAACGATCACCTGAGGCAAAATGGTTTGATCTGTTATCAAATTCTCTAAACTTATTCTTTAAGAAAGGGCTAATATACGGCGGAAGCCTTCAGTCTGCGTTTGTCACACACCACTAAAGACGTGTACGCTTTCTTTGGATTTTCCATCAGTGATTTTGTTACCTCTGCGTCCTGTGTCCCTGACGCATAAAAATTCCCAAAGACGCACAAAAAGTTCATGGCATGGGTCCTGTAGGACGAAAAGATCAATTGATCGATCTGAGGATGCTTTTGTAGAATACCCTGTTTGTGTGATTTCTGTGTTTGTTGTTTAACAACGCATATTTATTTTAGTCTTAGTTGTGCTTTACAAAAGAATGTCTGGTCACATAAAGGCCCAAGCATTTTCAATTTCGGACTTGTTGTTTTTTGAACCAAGATTCAATTGTTCTGCAGTGGGACTCACCATAACTACTTGTAATAAAATCAAAGGGGAAATTTTTGTTTGCAAAAAAAAAACTTTTACTGGCAAATGTATAGAAAATTTAAAAAAGTGTTTGTAGCAGATGTAGCTGCGTGTAGAGCCCTTAAATTTTTTGTGGTAGATTAGTTAGGAGTGGATTTTTATTCTGCATTTCTTTTTTTAGAACAGTTGTTTTACATAAATTATTCGACATTAGATTGTCATAGAACAACTGTAATTTATCACACATACGAAACAGCAGTGGAGGATGCATTCCCAGGGTCTCTTCATGTGAAGTGGCTTGGTTGGTCAAGTTAATGATGAGTGAGATCCCTCCTCACTACCATGAAATCCTTTTTAAAAATTTTTGTTCAGATGTGAAGGCAAGTACAATTGTTTCAAAACCCTTTGCCATTATGATGTTATTTAAAGCTGCCAGGGCTTTTTGCCCAAATAGAATGTAAGTTTATGTTACTTGTGGCAGTCAGTATGCAAATTGTGCCGCAAACTTGGATCACTCACACATAAGTGACCATTCACATAAAGTTGGAATAACATTTAAAATAAGTTTATCCTTTTCTGATCTCTTGCCAACCATATTTTACACTGGGCAAAATTATTTCCATCTAAACGCAATGGAAGTAAATCATGCACAGTCTAGTTACATATAGCTTCTTTTAATTGTTCAGGGTTATGTACAATAAAAAAAATTTATTGTGTGTCCTTAGAGCAGGTTTCAATGTAATATGCCTGTTGGGCACATTTGCCCTCATTTTGTTGACCTCCTTGTTCTGTATTTATACTTCACATGTCAAGCTGGAATGACATCGTCGTATGGTGTGGCTTACTAATTTATTTAAAAGCAAACCTTTGTTGTTTAATTTCTTTCAGAAATGTTAAGTGAGACAAAAGGCAAGAGACTGGGGACACTCCGCTGCCGTGGCCTTAAACCTCCAGTTGTGAGAGGCCATGCTGCAGCCTTCACATATTGGTTTAATGTTTTTGGGCACACAGGCCCTTACAGCCAATCCATCGAGGTCCTACCAGATGGGTCCCAAAAAGTTATTGCCAAAGGGAATCCTATGAATTCCTCAGGTAAATGAATTATTTTCTTCTGTTCAATTGACGATCCACATGCATGTTAGCTCTTCCTGTGAATTATGCCTGGCGAGGGGAAATTAGCAAAGTGTGGAATATAAGCACATTCTGTCTTAAACAGTCTTCCTCAAATTTACAGACGTTTCATCACATTGGTAGAAATCTCAGCAAGGCTCTGTTGTTAGTTGTGGTGTTCGTCATTAGAACAAGTCTTTTTTTAGTGACTTGTGCAGGTCTTTTTCCTTCAGTCAACTTGTGTTGTTTTCAGTTTGCTGACTTTCCACCATTGGCACTTTTGTTCTTGTACTTTTTTTTGCAACGTTTATATTGTACTTGATGGATTCTTTATTATATGTCTTAAATACAGTGTATTAGTAGCTGCATATCACTGCTTAACTCTGACTGCTGATTTTTTTCTTTAATGTTACTTCAGTTTTGACATACATACACTAAACAGCAAAAAGCAAAAGTACCTATAATCACACATATTTTGAAAATAGCCATATCAGGGTGTCGAAAATATATTAACTTAATGTTTGTTTGGAGACCTCTTTGCCTTTATTGGTCTCTTACAGTTGAAACTGTACATCTTGTTGTCGCCAAAGCCACATTTTCTGCATCTGCATGCTCAGTTTCTGAATTGTTGCCAGTATCTTCTTCCTTTTCATAAGTCATCACTAGAATCAGGTGCTTTGAATATAGTTTGATAAACCCCATTAAAAGTTATCACAGTCCATCTAACCAGCTATTCATCCAACCTACTCACTGCTCTTGAATTTTTAGCGGTAAAACAGACCATAAAGCAGCTTGTGAGGAGGTCATCGCGGCCAACAAGAAGAGATGCGCGTCAAGGGAGGGTGGCATATGAGCCTAAAAAGGCCCCTCCATTTACCCTACATCAGTTGTTGAGAATGCGTGAGTACTGCTTCAAGACAATAGAGGTAATTATTTTGAATTTTAGAATGTGTATACAATGATCCTGCAGATGGATTTATAATAACTGTCATATGTAAATAAGTATTGTGCTAGAAAATAGCCAGTTACTTTTTTATATGAAATGTATGGAGCTGTATAGCTCCATTTTATTATGAGATCGTCAAAGGGAGTTAACTGAACAACAGTAAGAAATACATAATTAATGAGAATAAACAGGACAAGATAGTTTTCATCCTTTTTAAACAGCTCTAAAATTATGGTAATTGCAATATTTGTATAAAAGGAAGATGCCTTCTTAATTCTTTCTGCTGGGTATGTTTATTTGCTTGAGTTATTAAACTTTACATAATAATTAACAAGTTGTTGCTTGTTTTTATTCTTTTAAGGGAATGCGTGGGTTGTGGCTTTGGACCTTGACCTTATTTTCATTTGCCCTCTTCCTACGAGGTGAGGAACCTCTACGCCTTAAGCTGCGACATTTAAAACTGCCTCAAAACTATGCAGGTATGTTGTACACTTATATACCGGTATTGACAGTGAAGTGTGGACAACCTTTCCTAGGCAGAATAAAATTTGAATCTAATTAGCAATACTTCAATATCGAGTTCATTACATTTCAACAACAGACCATTTTATAGTTTCTGACTTGGTAACTTAGCCTTTGAGGGAATGTGAGGCTGGGGTTGTTCTTTTTTTTTAAAAAAAATAACCTCCTTCTTTTCGTAAAGAACAATACATGCTTGAAAAATATCAGTCAGCATAATAACAATACGATCTACATGATAATTAATGAAAGCAAAAAGGGATGTATCCACAACAAGGTCAACTCCAGGGTCATTTCAACCTGTTGCTGTAAAATGGACTAATATTATATATGGCACTAACTTATAAGCAGGATAGTTTGATAAGTCACTATAACAAACTACTGCAATTTGAATGAATTCTTGAATAGTTCTTTTAAAAACAAAAGGAAACTAAAATGACTTCTAAGGACAAATAACTTAATCATACCTGGAAAATAAAAAAGCTTTAGATGGTAAGCGTTCAGATGTGTAAAATCTCACCAAAAGATGATAGTTAAATTATGTCCAATGATGTCTTAATTCTCCTCAGAATTTCTAATCTAGAATATTCGCTTCAATGGTTCATGTCTATATCCCAGATTATAGACTTTTAATGAAAATTTACATTTTGCAATAACCTTGAATCCTTGCTTTAAATATTGAATTGATGTTACATTTATTTATATTTGTGTTAAGTTGATTCTGGTAGAGTGCCACAAAGAATCGAGGTGAAGATACCATGGTCCAAAGCAGACAAAAAAGCCAAAGGTGACTGTTTTGCTACTGTCAAGTATCCTGTTTGAGGGAGACTTTAAATCGAATACAGTTGATTAACTTTGTGTCCATGCAATGATAATTGGCATTTGGGCATGCAGGTCTTAAGGCTTAGTATTATCATCATAATTGTGCATTGATTTTAAGACCTGAATTTGTTGTTCTTCAATGTACTTCAGGAGTTCTCTAGTGCTGTTCCACTTTTCATCGAAAGCACCAAAGATTAATAGCATTATTAATTTTGTTTACCTAAAACAATAAGTTTAAAATATGCTGTAGCTACATGATCACTTATTTTTTTTGTATTGTTGAATTAACCAAACTGAGACCATGTTTCTTTTGGGCACCATTTTGAACCTTGCAATGCTGATGTGATGGTCATTTTTTAAAATAAGTTATTAAGCTCTTCCATTTTCACAATAATCTCACTGCAGGTGTGACACTATCTCTTTGGGCCAACCCATTAAACTGCGAGTTATGCCCAGTTACTGCCCTTTTCACATGGTTACTTATTACGGGTTAGTAGATAATTGTATTTGTCACATAATTTAAGCCCTATTTTAGTTTGTAATATTTATATTATGTGCCATCTTCTTTGAAGAGATTGATCATGTAATGTAACATTCCAATTGATTTGGTGTTACATTTTTAGGTTAATCCATAATGTTGGCTTTGATTCTTGATTTTGGTACTTTTTCCTTTATGCTACAGCTATTTTTTATTTCATCTGCAGGAATTAGGAAAGGGCAAAATTATATTTTTCCCCGAGTTGCTAAAAACAACCGAGCAGTCCTTCCTAACTGTGCTCGAGGTGTTACTACATACAGGAAAACCTTTTTGGAGGTACATGTGCTCTTTCGCTTAATTAACAACAAGCTATCAGTTCCAGCAGTACCTGAGTTTTGAGCTGTTGATGTAAATAAATGGTGCACTTTTTGGCCAATTTACATGTGCCATTTAGGCACCCTTGACAATCAGTGTAAACAACAAAAAATCAATTTGGATATACCGGTACCTTTTATTTTACTTTCTGCTCCAAAGTAGTCTTTACTTGGATAAGCCCTGTCAAACTTGTTATTAAAAAAAACTGTCCTCATTAATATAATGTAATAACAAATTGGTGTTACCAGACTTGTCATTGTTGTGGAGCTGTGCCAAGCGCATGCCAACTGCACTTTGTCCAATTGTTTTTGTTTTGTTTTTGTTTTTGTTTTTACTGTGGCAATGTCAAAGTGTCTAGTGGGTGAAAGATGGAAGATTTAGTTCGGTCAGCCGGATTGAAAATAAAAAATACCTAAAGAAACACAAGAAGTCTCTGAATAGTAGGCCCAGGTACCCCAGGATGACTTAAAAAGTGAACATTTACAGTATGGATTAACAGAATGGATGATATACTGTAAAAAATGTTCCTGTTTTTCTCTATGTTTTACTATGCTCATTTTTAAGATTAAAATTAAGGGAATTACCAGTATTTCAAGTGAAAAATGTTTCAACAACATCATAATTTTTTTTTTTTTGAAAATGCTAAAAATTTGTGTCAGTTGGGCGACACTAAATGGAGGAAAAAGAGAGAGAGGATGGCCTTACCTGTGGAGGCAAATAGAACATCTATTTTATTTCTGTTATGTTTATTTTGAACCTATTTTTAAGCAAGTTAGAACTGTTAGAGTCGTGTATTTTATTTATGTTTTTGCATTTAATAGTTCAGTACTGAAAATACCTCATTTTAATAATGTACTGCTGAAGCTTATTTTTTCTGGCCGCCACCTTACGATGCATGCCCATTGAGGAATACTCTGTGTAATACTAGTCAATAACCTTAAATATTTGAAATCTCCTTTGTATTTTACCAAGATTTATAGTGTCTAGGTCAGAAAAGTTGCAGTAGGTTCTGGATACCATTTTATTTATGGCATAGCATTTCCACTTATTGTTTTAGATGTCAAAGGCTCTTTTTGGTAAAGAGTTCACCACACACAGCATCAGACGGTCTGCGGCCCGATGGGCTGCCAGATGTGGGGCCGATGACACCTCTATCAAAAGAGCAGGCAGATGGTATGTGATCTCGTGTTTTTTATTTGTAACTTAGTATTGTCTCAATATGAAATATTTTTATTTAAATAAATTATCTGTCTTATTCACTGTTTAGCTCTCTCTGTATATATATATAAATATATACACAAGTTTATATACATGTATCTCATGTTTTATTGGTCTTTTGCTTAATGTAGAAACAGTAAAATAGTCTAAATCAAGTGTTGCATTCAATTTCAGGAAGTCAAACAGTTTTGAGCTCTACACTCAAGATGCCAGAGCTGAAATGATAAAAGAGCATCATGATGGCCAACCAGTCTCTGACCACAAGATCTGGATTTTCAAACCCCTGAGATAATTAATAAAGAATATATTAACCTCAATGTGCACCATCTTGCAGTGACGTTTTTCTTTTTGTAAAGCTTTTTTACCCTCCCCCCCCCCTACCAGTCACCTTGGATTGATTCTGACAGGTCATTATAGTGGAGCTCTTACAGGCACAAAGCGTGCGCTGCAGAGCAGCCATGCTAAAGAAAATTTGGTAACCTATGCATCCAAGAAATTTCGATAGTCGCATGACCCTGTGTCAGCCCCACTTCTAGAACCACAGCCACCCCAATAAAAAGATAACAGGTATGGACAAAAATGAAATGAACCAAGTTATTATCATTAACTTCCTTTTTTACTCAGGATGCAGTAGATTTAAATAAAATTTACACTTATTAACACCTATTAAGATATCTTTTCTCCTTTAAATCATGGTTGTGCTATCGTATCATGGTTTATGTAAGTATGTACAGAGTAGTTGTAACCCCTGTGAAATGACAAACATGCAATCAGAAATGCAATCAGAAATGTTACTATGATTCTGACCTGTAGAAGTGTCTTTTGGTGGCTTCTGTGAAGAACTGCAGAAATGTTACTTGTCTTTGGAATCAAGAATTTTTCCTTGTTCAGACATGTGTACAATATTAACAATTGTTAAAGGAACCACAGTGTTATAATTTATGCAAACCATATGGAGGGTCCACCAGGCTTGCGCCCAGCATACATCTGTAGTGCTGAAAATACAGTGTTTTGGAGACTATAGTTCTTCCCATGCTCATGCCTCAAGGTGATGGAGAGATGAGATTGATCATGGGAATGACATTGTATCGCTAGAATGTTAATTTAAAATTAAAAAAAAAAGCCCTTCATTTCTCAGGGGCACCTGACGAGAATATAGGTGAAAATCTACAGTATTGGGCATTTTGGGTTCTCTTTTGTACAGAAACACAGTTTCAAACATTTTCTCCTAAATTTGTGCATTATTTCTCACAATATACAATTATTCCCCGAAGGAGAGGTGAATGGTGGTGGGTATATACCGAGACACGAAGCGTAGAGGTATATATCCACTGCTATGAACAGAGCCTGAGGGGTATAGTTGTTTTAGTACTTACCAAATCAGTTGGGTTAAAATCAATAAAAAGGAAATTTTTGTACTCAAAACACGTTCCTTAATTGGAGTTTATTATGTTTCAAGTGACAGTGTTCGGGGGATTATTTTTATAATTTTCTTGCAAACCCAGTGAGAAAGTTTTTTTTTTCCGACCTGTAAACCGTCTGTCAAGCAAACTTTTGTCTCTTTTTAGGTATTTGTTAGTACAGATGCTTCATCTTCCGCTAAAATTGCATCTTTCGAAACTGTCGCGAAAGGAGACGCCACTTTGAAACCCGTTCAAAAACAGTGAAATGCCAAGGGAACCAATCGAAAATTGCTATCCACTGATTAGGTGAATACTAAATTTGCCTATTACCCTGTTGTTTACTCATGCATAACTAACAGTGATAATGATGAGGATGGTAAAATTATCGCTACACCTACACATCTCCTCCCTCCAACTCCAATTCCCCCTCCCCCCTACCCCAATAGAAAAAATAGATTTCTTGATCTGCATAACTTTTCAGATTAAACTCGGCTGACTAACTAAAAACACCTGGGCCGGGTTGTTCAAAGCCGGGTTAACATAACCCAGGGTTAGTAAAAAATTTGAATTCAGATATGAAAGCTTAAAATGCAAATGCAGTTTAATTCTTTTTTCTACAATTTGATGATTAAATACTCTAAATAGAATAGGGAAAATTTCCGAGAAAACGCTTTTGATGAAAAGAAAAAGAAACCCGGGTTAAAATTTAACCCTGGGTTAGCGCTAACCGGCCTCCGAACAACTCGGCCCAGTATATCAACGATAACAATAATGAACAAAGAAATGATATGAAAACTTGAGACGAGTGCCGAAATGAGTCTGACCTGTCTGTAATGGTAAAGTTTTCAAAAAACGTAACTACGTACACAGTCCAGAAGCGCTGCTCTCCAGCCCCAGCAACCCAGCCGAGAGCTTATTTGCGAGACGATCTCAGAGTCATTCGTGACGTAACTTGCCTTGGTTCAGACGATGCTTCATCCGATGATTCATCCTCGCTCGATTCTTCACGTATTGCCCCAAAGTGCTGAAGGGCGTGAGCAGTGGACAATTCTTGTGGAATGTCTTCTCCGAGTTCTGTACGGCACTCAGGACAAGGAACACCGCAATTGAAGCAGACTGGCATGTCGTTAAACCAAGGCATAGTGAAGGGTTCGTTGACGGAGAAGGCGCAGTTTTCTTTAGGATATGCTGGATCTTTTCTCCGCCATTGATCTTGGCACCATTCGATCATTCTTTTTGTCGGTCTATCCCCTGGTTTCCATCCCTCTGTTGCGGTCTTAATTTCTGCTTCTTCCATTCTAGCTTTCAAATGGTCGAACGGTCTCGCCTCTAACAGCTTGCACACGAAATTTGCAACAACTTCGTGCATTTTCCACGTGAATTTCAACCTTTCCATTCTCCGTCTCTCTACCTTGAACCCCAGCATTAAAATGAACTGCCAGACAGCAATATCGTACAGAGGTCTGAGAAACGACAATAAATTTGAAGAAGGCATGATGAGAGAGAGAGCAAACAGTCGTAGCGTGACAATCGATTACGCGTTACCTCAGGCCTCTGGTTGGATTCTGGACACAATGCCTGGTTGATCGTTGGTGATCGTCGGGTATTCTCGACCCCAGTGCTTATGGGTTCTTCTCTTCATGCGCAGAAGAGCTCTGGGCCGAGATTGATCGTCTGGTCATTTGCAAAATGTCGTCTTCGTCGTCCACGTGTACTGCGTCAACGCAAACAGTCGTTTCGAAGGTAAAACATGTACACCCCCTATTTTCCGATCTCCTTGATCTGGCAATTTATTCCTTCGGTTGTCAGAGCGGTCTACGAGCTCACCATAAAGTTCGTGGTGGTCCAGTGCTGGAAGGAGTCTCAGCGATTCTGGGTCGAATGTTGTTGACCAGCAACCCAGAGACGAAGGCAGCGTTCGAAGAAATGACACCTACAAGGCTAGGTAGCTGATTATTTTTAAATTTTCGTTATTTAGGGACAGTTTGGTTGAAACCTTGAAGGCTTTCCTTGGTCACTACTGCCCCGCGCGAGCAAAAACAAAATTGCTTGCGTGTCAAATCGGGTAATGCACTAGTCAATTGTAATCTCGACCCTCAAACCCCCGCGGATAGTAGGCATTTTACGGCGCAATAGTGGGGGAAATACGGAGATTTTACATTGATTTCTTGCATCGGTCCCTGGAGGAATACCAGAAATTTACGGCTTATACCTCTCCCGGGGTGGGGGTGGGGGTGGCGTTTTTTTGTTTCAGTGTTTCGGTCACGTGATTTGTTTGCCCGCGAAAGAAGCAGACATGGCGGACTCGAACGCTGTTGGGATTAATGAAATGTTTCGCCGGCTTAGGTCAGCAAAACTTTCGCATGTAGCAGACAGGGTCCCAAAGGGGTTTAGGGCTCCTGGGCTCCGGACCAAAATAAACAGGGCTCCAGGGCTCCAGGGCTCCCGAGAAATTTATCAAGGGCTACAGGCTCCGCCCTTTTTTTTATTTTTTTATTTTAAAATCCAAAACCAAATCCTAGATGGAAGGTGTTGACAGGCCAAACACCACTCATAAGCTCGTGATAGTGTGATACATGACCTTATAGTTTTGCTCTAATAAGGAGATCTCCCAGCGGTTTTGCTCTTTTATATGAAATGATGGGAGGCTCGTTGTATATTTCTCTCAGCAGCGGTTGATTTTGAAATAAAGTGCCATTTGCTCATTAAAATGTTTTTAAGGTTCTGCAAAGCAGGGTGGTACGTGGTAATGAAGGCAGAATTTTCTTTCTGTCGTTGTTCTTTTGTAAAGCTGACTTCTGTTCGGTAAATTCAACCCCAGAGGTGATTTCTTCTATGAGATTGTGAGGGTAACCTCTAGCGCGAAGGCGTTTTTTGAAGTTCTAGATGTTCTCATGGGAGGATTTTGCTGAGGAGTTTGTTCTCAGAAGTCTAAGGGCTTGGCCTTTTATGAGACCTTTTCTGACCCCGTGAGAGTTACAGGCAGAAAAATGCGTGTATTTAAAAGTCTCCGTAGGGTTAAAATGTACGTGGATCTCAAGGATTCCTTGGTTGTGAAATCTCTCGTCTTTGTTAACAGTTGTAAGCATCTCTTGCAGGTTTTTCCCTGAGTTTTCACTCATAGTAAGATTTTAACAATTTGTTTCTTAACCAAGACTGCAGTTTCGGAACTTTAGCGTTCCTCGTCAGTTGCTAGCAAAGTCTTAGGTGTGTAGAGCGAAAATGGCTGTATAAATACTGGTCGCTAGGATCGAAAATACTGGCTTGCCATTGGCTGGTGGAAACGAAACCAATATTTGATCCACGTTGTTTTGTGTTTTCAGGTCAAAAACGCTAGGTTTTGGGTGAGCAAGAGAGATAGTATCTCACTGGATAGTAGTGATGCAAAGTCACTAGCCTTTGTTAGTGTCTGAGAGAGTTTGAGAGAATCTTTCTCCATAGATTAGGGGTATTTTCTCGTACACCTCTCGAAATCACCCGAGTACATTTCTTTTGATGAGGTAACATGAGAACCAAATTTTTGCTGTAAAAAATATCTGACACTACAGTCGAAAGGTGCTATGTTGGTTTTTCCAATCTCTAGGTAGGACAAAAGCTTAAAGACCTAAATCAAGCAATATATATCTCAGTAATTTAGAGTTTAAACTTTAATAAATGATGCAGTTAAAAAGTAGTAAGTTTGGATTGCAGCGCACCCCCAGAATAGCATCATTACAGTGAAAAGAATGAATGTAAGTTAGCCTCAGTCTAGTTTACAGTGTACTGGTTTTGTTACTATCTTCCTTCCGATTCCGAGCAAACAACAAACAAAGCACATTATGACGCTATCTGTGTGCAAAAATGTCCGAATTTTAATATTTGGGGCTACGGGCCCCGCAGAAAACGTTTTGAGGGCTCCAGACTCTACAGTAAAATAATAATAGGGCTCCGGGCAACAAAACGATGGGGCTCCGGGCTCCATGGAAAACATTTTAGGGCTCCCGGGATCCGGCCACCCCCCCTTTGTGACCCTGTTCATTGTATCGACTTATTTACTGGCTGTAGAGGTAGGGGAAATTTCCTTCTGAATCTGTCCCTGGGGCCTGGGGGAAGTTTCTAAAATTACAGAGCTGCTCGTGTGAATTCCCCCACTATTCCCCGGGGGCTTGGGGGTTGGGGTTACAATTGACTAGTGCATCACTGTCATCATGGCATATCTTTTTCCAGGTTGAGGGGTAGTTAGTACCTATTTAGAAGCTGCGGGAAGTTAAAAACTTAAGTCTGTCAGACTTGCAGCGAAACTCAAAAGAAATCCTCCAAAGCAAAATTGGGCTAAACCTCATTGATGTAACTGTTCAGATATAGGAAGCTGTAAAATCACCGACTGCAGAGTGATAATTGATGTGACCATGCATGATGAAGAGCCCCCCTTGTTTCTGATGTGTTCATCAGGTGTATATACACATTTTAATACTTACTTCAATGCCTTTAGGTAACTGGAAACCAGGGGAGATCCCCACAAAGGAACTCCTGACCCTGATCTCTTCCAGAATAAAAATGCAGAAGACGAATGGAGTGATCAGTGAAGCTGGAAATCCTCAAGTGCCTTCACTGTTACTTGAGGAAGAGCAATCTTTTTCTGAGGAGGAAGATCGCGTAAAATACCGATATTTCCCCAGATGTTGGAGATGCGGGCAACATTGCCAGTTTTGTATAAAAAGGAAGAAATTTTTTCCCAAATTTGGAAGTTTCACCATGGAGTAAGTCTATGTTGTTTTAGGTGTTACCAGGTGCATGTAGCCCTGCAGAAGCATGTAACTCTGTTCCTTTGCATGTTTGCTGTGTTTTTTTGGAGAACCAATCATTAAGTGGCTAAAAAACCCAAGCATAGTTCTAAACACATAAGGCGAAGGTAGATGAGGTACTGATTTTGTTTTCAGTTTGTAAAACATTGTAAGGTGCATTGAGCTTTGTAATTGCACCATATAAGAATGTATTTATTATATTTGGCAAAGATCCAGACTGTCTGAGACAGGAGTTTGAAAGCAAGTGAAGAAATATTAGTCGCATTCTGCAAGACTAAGTGCTTTTCAACTGTTGCTACTGTTAGGATGAGGACTCATTAGAATAATATTTGTAATGCTGTAAATGAATACCCTATAGCACCACAGTTTAGCATTTAACATAATTTAGAGAAATTGCTCCAGACATTTTGACTGAAGAGCATGTAAAATAGATGCATAAGTTAAATGACAAATTTAAGTATAATTTCCTCTTCTCTACAGATATGCCTCTCCCTTCCTTGATGTGCTGGAGGACATTCTCAAAGATGACCCTGATCAGGATGATCAGGAGGAAGAAGAGGAAGAGGTGATGGAGTCAGAGGAAGAGGAGATACATTATGAGAACTATAAGAAATGTATCTCTAGAGAAGATATGAGTGAAACAGAGGAGGAAGATGGGGAAAACCATGAAGATGAAGGTGGAGACGAAAATTCTGACCATGATGACGTGGAAGGGATGAATGAAGAGGACATTATTTGACGTTTGGCTATTTGGAGAAGACCGAAATGCTGATATTGTATTAACATATTATTATTTTTGTATATAACTTGTATCATTAATTTTTGTAACATACCCCTTTTTGTGTCCACAGCCTCCTATATATTACACCTTTGTTGGCCAATGATGAGAAACAATATTGAAATCATGTTAAAAGTAATGTTAAGTGATTGCCAGCTGATTAATTTTTGAGTGGTAGTTATGTGTCAATTTTACATATGTTTTCAACAATGTTGTCGGCTTTCTTGTCGTTTACCACAGCAGTGCTTGATTTCGAACAAGCTGAATTCAGCAAATTTTTTCATTTATGTAATGGCTTTAATGAACTTTCATTTGGAATCCTTGACATCATACCAGATGGCTCTGACAATTTCTGCTGTATTTTTTATTCATAGGGAAATGGGACGGGGTTTTTGTGTTTATGCAAATCAAAAGAACCGTACTCCTTAACATGAGAATTTTAAGTCTTCTACTTTATCTTGAAGTATATTATCCGATGTTTGTGCTTTTGGTTAAACTGGATGTCCCCACTAAAAAAATAGCAATAAAGTTGAAAGCACCCAATGAAAAAATCTTTAATTCCAGGCAATTAATAATTTTTAAATCAACCCAAAGTCACTTGAGGCAAGTTTGTAACATCCCCCCCCCCTGTATTGTTAAAGTTTATTTCATGTATGAGTTTGATCTTCCTACTTGCACAAGATGTTTGATAATTACTCTTCTATGAGATGAGGTGGTAATCTTTCACAACTAATTCCATTTTAGATATCCTGTAGTTTTTGGTTTGAAGAGATACTAGTCATCTCTACCTGAAATCATGAACGCTCTAGAGAGATATTTTGTTGTGCGCTTTTTAAACGTCGGATTTTACAAAACAGAGTTTTCGAGTGAAAGGGCTAATGTTGTAAAAGTTAAGATAATTTCTCATTTCCCAAATAACTTATCATTGTATTTCTGGTACGTAGCCATCTTTTTGACTGGGTCTAGACCTGGCTGGCTTTCATTTCCACATCTCCTGAAAATAACACGCATGACTAAGACGCACTGACTTTACCAACACTTTGAGCTCTTGAGCTTTTTAGCTTATCCCAACAACCCATAATTATTACAAGCGGTAGAGTGTTAAAAAAAAAAATTATAGGTCTGGGCTCATTATGGGTTGGCTACGCCCCTGTACGTTTAGTTGTACCGTATTTGGTTTCTTGGGAGTGGTCCGCATATGGAATAATCACATGGATATATAGATATTGTACCTTTACCGATTATCGATGTTGTTAATTATTATTTGCAAAATTAAAGGACAGATATGTGTTTTATTTCAACTGGCTCTAATGTACTTCATAGGAGATGATAGGAGATCAAGTAATTTTTGAGTAAAGCCGGGCAGTTTGGACCAATTGTAGGGCAAAGTTGAGCCGGTGCTCAGCCAAGTTGAGTTCTTTACGTATCAATACCTTGTATCCCTACGTTGTTTCGTGTGCACAGTGTTCAGAAGGAATATACAGCGGACAGATAAATCCATTCGTGTAACCAATTTTGTGCAAAATCTCGAGGCTAAATTATAGTTTTATATTGCGGTCGCTGTTAGATTTCGTTAAAGTAAGAGGACCTTTTGCGTCTTCCTCTTGCATTAATAGCTGGGGTCTACATGCAGTGCCTAAACCATCACCGATTAATCAGGACGTTTTTGATGCAAATTTAATCCGTGGCCTCAATAACTTTGACACCCGCCCCAGTGAGTTAAATTGGAAGGGTAACTTTAAAAATATGAATTTCCCATGGTTGGGGAAAGGCGCATTTAAAGACCGCTTTTAGGTGACTTTTACGTGAATAACTCGTTGTGGGTATCAACAAAGTAAGAAAAAAAAAAAAACACGGCCACACCAGGGACACTCTTGACGTTGACCAGGGACTTCCTTATACTGAACGCACTTCCAAAAGTAATGGGCATTGTGTAGGTAAAAAAAAAAATTATTAAAAATATCTGTTCGCAGGACTATATATCACCTAGAAATTTCTATAGCTCAAAAAAGGCTACAAATAAACTGGATAACTGTTCCATTCATCTAAGATGGTCTGAGTTTTCCTACTAAGTTCCCTGCGATTTTAGGAAGTTTCTTTTTCCCGTTTGAAACTAGGGCTAACTAAATAATCAGTGTTCTCTCGTCGTTTCGAAAGTCCCCGTCGGGGTAGCCATTATAAAAACCTTCCCTAAAACAGTCCAGAAGGCCAAAGCTCCCCGAAAACATCCAAACAGGTTGATAGTTTTAAAGGCTGCTCACACCAACTTCTAAAGCATAGAGAAAACAATTTTAAACACGTCGGACGTGTTTGGAAAGATTCGGTTGTTGTGTGCCCTTGACGATACAAGCTGATAGTGCAGATACAGAAAGAAAAATCTCAAATAGCTGAATGAATGGTAGACAGGGGTGGGGGTAGGCAGTTTGAGATACCAGATTTAATGTAAAACAAACGGCTTTGATGACTCAGAATGACTCAGGCTGGAATTAGGCCGTCATTACTAAGAGAAAGTTTGAGATGTACATGATCAAAAGCCATTATGGCCATAGGCGTACGGGCAATTTTTTGCCAGGGGGGGCGGTAATCCATTTGCCCAAAAAATTCTTGCAAGTTGCCCAAATTTTTACAAAACAGTCGAAAGGAAACTAGGGCCATGCAACAAAATAGGCCGTACTGGCATATGAAAGTGGCTCGATACAGTTTTTCAGAGTCAATACCTGCCAAGTTTGAGCATAAACTACTTCGCCACAAACAAGCATTTGGAAAAAATTGCCACCACAGTTGTATTAGATAAAGAGGGAAATTTGTCATGATCAGGATTGCACTGACATCGGAGCTGTCATAGCAACGAAATGACGCCATTACCTATTATACTTGCAGCAATATTTCTCACTGGGAACTGTTCTTACAAAATCGTTCAGGGAAGCTCTTTCCTCCAATAGTCGCCTCGATGTACGTGAAGTTAAAACGGAACTGTAAGAGTGTTATCGAGATATTTTGGGATGAAGTTTTTATTGTTAGAAATAAGGTAAAAAAGGAAAATCTTGATGTTTAGAAAACGGAGTTTCAATCGTATTAAAAACGCGTATGAAAGATCATGGAGATAGCTCCTGCCAATTGCTACTAAGGAAGGATTTGATTGGCGCTCGATCTTGTTAGGGGTTTCGTAAACATTTCGGTCTACTTAAACAAATTAGTGAATAATTTTTAAACCCTTGATAGATTTTTTTAAGAAATTTATGATTCTTCTCGTAATTCAAACTGAGAATTAGTCAGCCACTTCACTTTCAGACCCATTGCTGAAGCGTGTTCTGCCACACACTATTCTAGGAGCGGAGGTGATTCTAGAAAGTTATGCGGAAGTGTATTCTAATCAATTCATGACTGGAAATAGCCCACTCTAGCTAGTACAGTGAAGTACAGTGCCCAACAACAACAACAAAAAAATCAGCATATGATACCCTTCCCTTATAACCAGAAACTCATCACGTGCTAGCTAGGCAACCACTGTCTCGTGTGAACGTAACTGAATTATTACGCCGACTTCTGGTTAAAATAGAAAATATTTATGTCTTCAAAATATAATAATAATAAAAAACATGGAAACGTCTTTAAAAACTGGCTTTGCCCAAGTTTTCTCTTGCTGCCCAAAAAATCTGAGTTGCCCAAACTTTGGGGGGGGCTGCAGCCCCCCTCGCCCCCTCGCCCCCTCGGCCCGTACGCCTATGATTATGGCTCTTGACATAATTGAGTAACATTGATCATTAAAAATATGGTATTTTAGATACATGAACATGATGTCAGCGTCAAGCGACAGTTTGAGATACAATTTGTAACTCAAAATACGTAATTTACCGGTGAAATGAAATTTAAATTGAAGTTTAATCCCTCTTTTAATACTTATAGTGGAACAAGGCCGAATGTGCTAAACATTTAATGGTTCGCACAAAAATTAGCACCACATTTAGCGTTACCTCAATGTATGGCATTACTAATTCACCACAGTTTGAAATGTCTCAAAAATGTGGCACGTCTTCGGTGCCACAGAATGAGATAGAATTTGTAACTCAAAATATGTCATTTGCCGGTAAAGACATATTTTGCAATAACGCAAAAGATGACCGCACCATAAGCCACAAGTTGCGATATCTCAAACTGTGGCCTTCTCTCTTTGCAAACGTCGAAGTTTCATCCCTCTTTTAATACTTATAGTGGAACAAGGCCGAATATGCGAAACATTTAATAGTTCGCACAAAAATTAGCACCACATTTAGCGTTACCTCAATCTATGGCATTACTAATTCACCACGGTTTGAAATGTCTCAAAATGTGGCACGTCTTCCGGTGCCACAGAATGAGATAGAATTTGTAACTCAAAATATGTCATTTGCCGGTAAAGACATATTTTGCAATAACGCAAAAGATGACCGCACCATAAGCCACAAGTTGCGATATCTCAAACTGTGGCCTTCTCTCTTTGCAAACGTTGAAGTTTCATTCCTCTTTCAATACTTATAGTGGAACAAGGCCGAATATGCTAAACATTTAATAGTTCGCACAAAAATTAGCACCACATTTAGCGTTACCTCAATGTATGGCATTACTAATACAACACAGTTTGAAATGTCTCAAAATGTGGCACGTCTTCCGGTGCCACAGATTGAGATAACGCAAAACACGGCACGCAGGCGGTGGATGTTTTTTTTAATCCAAACAGCCTATAAACGCTGTTTACCAGAGAGTAAATTCCTTGATCTGATCCTTGAAGTGGCTTTTAAAAAAATCATAATCCCACCACAAACACAACCCAGGAGCACCCAACGATAATAAAGTTCAAAACCGCTTAAACATACCAGGTTGAACGTATTTTGGTATCTTAAAGGTAAATATAGGTATCTATTTATCCCCCCAAAATTTTGTATCTGTTCGGATTTCCTAGCTGAAAAGCTAGTTATCGGAAAATTATAGGGATCAAACCTTACCTTTTCGAAAATTTCTGCCAGAAAAAGGGCTCTCGAAAATTATAGGTGACCTTTTTAGGGTACATATCCGTTAAAATGGGCAAGTACACCATTTTTGTAGACATTCGAAAATCTTAGGAGAGGCAGACAAGCGAGACATTTTACAACAAACGTTCCGAAAATTCTAGATCTCAAATCGTCTTTCGAACAGATATTTTCCGAAACTTGACGTTGTGTGGCCCTGACAACCGGAGCATTAAAAAAATGTCAAATGATTTCCACAGATTGACACACCGTATGCCATGATTTGAGCTGCACTTAAAACCTGTCTCGTTCATTAATCAGGACCACATTTTGCGTTAACTCAATCTATGGTATCGCAGTCCTGTACTATATATAGCCCACGACTCTGATGCCACAGATTGAGTTAACGCAAAACACGGTATCCCCCTGAAAGGTCATATTTTGCGTTAACTCAATCTATGGCGTGGCAGTCCTGTACTATAGCCCACGACTCTGATGCCACAGATTGAGTTAACGCAAAACACGGTATCCCCCTGAAAGGTCATATTTTGCGTTAACTCAATCTATGGCATCGCAGTCCTGTACTATAGCCCACGACTCTGATGCCACAGATTGAGTTAACGCAAAACACGGTATCCCCCTGAAAGGTCATATTTTGCGTTAACTCAATCTATGGCATCGCAGTCCTGTACTATAGCCCACGACTCTGATGCCACAGATTGAGTTAACGCAAAACACGGTATCCCCCTGAAAGGTCATATTTTGCGTTAACTCAATCTATGGTATCGCAGTCTATAGCCCACGACTCTGATGCCACAGATTGAGTTAACGCAAAACACGGTATCCCCCTGAAAGGTCATATTTTGCGTTAACTCAATCTATGGCATCGCAGTCCTGTACTATAGCCCACGACTCTGATGCCACAGATTGAGTTAACGCAAAACACGGTATCCCCCTGAAAGGTCATATTTTGCGTTAACTCAATCTATGGTATCGCAGTCCTGTACGACTCTGATGCCACAGATTGAGTTAACGCAAAACACGGTATCCCTCCGAAAGGGCATACAGTGAAATCTTTCTCAGCTCTCTATAATGCGGACACTATTACGGACAGTTCGTTTGGCCCCAGAAATGACAAAAATAGTACATTCCCTAACCCCGGTAACACGGACAGCTCTGTAAGGCACAGAAAGCCGACACTTGGTTCTGTCCGTTTTGTGTCCGTATTAACGAGGCTTACTATCCGCGAGAAAACACCGCATTCTTCTGGTGAGATGAAACGTTTAATGGAGGGCGGTGTTTATGGGTAGTTTTGCTACATGTATATATATGTTTTGGTAGTCTTCTTGAAATTTTAATTTCCCTTTGTCTTTGGGTACAGTGAGAAGTGTAAAATATACTGTAAAAAAATAAATAATTCAAAGAAATATATCATAAAAAAAGGAAAACATTTAACAACGGCACACGTAAACATATATACCAAAATTCAATACAGGTTGGCAATTGGGCATACATAACGATACCATGATTTACTTGAGTGATCAGAAAACAATGCATTCTCAGGGCCTAAATACCAATCCCAAAGCAACCTTTACTGAATCAGATATTATAATGACATGTTTGTTTAATGTATTCACTTCTCATCTTTCGGTTTCCACAAGCTAACTAAGGGCATTTATCAAAGTCAGAACTGGCCAGCTGGAGTGGTAGGCAATTTTCAAGCATTTTTACTAAAATCCTATTGCTGCATTGCATAATAAGGTCATGATTTATAGTGGATTTATAAACTGGCCAGGGTGGCTAGTTTTGCCTTTTAGTGAGCAGGCTAAGACAGTTAGTGATGTTCACCAATCATTTCCGTCTCGTATACTTTATTGTAATCATACTAAGTTTGTGAACACTTTGTAACCAAGACAGTTTTTGTTCACCAACCTCTACTTACGTTTAACAAACCTTGTTTTGTAAATTTAAAAATTTAAATTGGAGTAAAGAAATTATAAACTTAAAAGTGATTAAGCTTTTAACCTAATTTCGGAAGAAAGTTATTAGTTAAGTACAATTCTAACGAGCATGCATTGCCAGGATACAACAAAAAGGCGGAGCCAATGTCACAACTTGAAGTAAGACAAAAAACCTCTACTTAGGTTTACTATTTAGGATTTTATATAACTTCCCTGGCCTCAGTTCATTATACTGAGTAAAAACAAGGTTTTCATCAAAATTGTATTTCTTAAATAAGTTGTATATATATTTCCTTTGACTAAACAACGAAGAATTTTTTCCACTTTTAGATTTATGATTTCTCATAGCAACTGTCCACTTATGAAGTGGAGGACAGTTTATGGTTCCAACTTCCCAGAGGTCTTTCACCTGCTGCAGCTTCTCAATGTTTCGTGGTATAGACAATGAATCCAGCCATTCAACCAAACATGCAGATCCGTACTCCCTAAACATTGCTAACGTTGCAGGGTCAGTGATAGCTATAGAAACAGCAGGTCGGTTGTCTGCAGGTGGGACTAAGGCAGATGTAGGAATAGACTGAATTTGTGCAACTGATGCAGATATAGGGCTGGTTGTAGAGATAGGGACAGTAGGTTGATTGCTGGCCAGAGAATGTGTTGATCGAATAGCACAGTTGATTGACGAGGAGATGAGGGATGTGCTAGGGGTTGACAAACTAGGTTGGTTGATGCCAGAACGAACAAATGCTGTTGTGGAGAGTGGTGCACTAGGTTGCTGGTTTGTAGACTGGATGAAAGGTGCAGGATGTGTGGACAGAGTAGTATGGTGGGTTGCAGATGAAAGGAATGATGTTCCGGGCGGGGAGGGCGAGGCTGGGGTTGGTAGAGCAGCTGAAGGCTTTGAAGAAATGATGCTGGTTGAAGCTGAGGTTGGTAGAGCAGCTGGAGGGTTTGAAGAGATGATGCTGGTTGAAGCTGGGGTTGGTAAAGTAGCTGGAAGGTTTGAAGAAATGATGCTGCTTGAAGCTAGGGTTGGTAGAGCAGCTGGAGGGTTTGAAGAGCTGATGCTGGTTGAAGCTGGGGTTGGTAAAGTAGCTGGAAGGTTTGAAGAGATGATGCTGGTTGAAGCTGGGGTTGGTAAAGTAGCTGGAAGGTCTAAAGAGATGATGCTGGTTGAAGCTGGAGTTGGTAAAGTAGCTGGAAGGTTTGAAGAGATGATGCTGGTTGAAGCTGGGATTGGTAAAGCAGGTGGAAGGTTTGTAGAGCTGATGCTGGTTGAAGCTGGGGTTGGTAAAGCAGGAGGAAGGTTTGAAGAGCTGATGCTGGTTGAAGCTGTGGTTGGAGAAGTAGCTAGACTGCTTGTAGAAGGGATGGTGCTGGCACTATTGGCCACCATTGAAATGAAAACAGAAGACCAATAGGCTACTTGTCTTGCTGCATGAAGTGCAGGGCCAACATCACTACCCGGATGATAATCATCAATTTGCTGCGAGATGTTCGACACTAAGTTAACCAGACTGCTTGGTGCAACTGGTCCTTGATGAGGTGGTTGGCAATCTCGACTGGCCACACAGTCTTGGTGCAAAACAAGACTTATTGTTTTTGCATCTTGCACTATTTGTGAGGCAGACGGAATTGGGTCTGATAAAACCTTACAAATCTTGTCTCGGGATTTCAATTTCTCTAATACCATGCAGAGATCTGACTCCTAGAAAAGAAAAAACAACTGTAAAACTCTTTCACACAAGCAGCCACATGATGCATATGTTGCAGTTTAGCATACAAGCTGAAAAGCTCTATTAAGATCTTATTTGCTTCTTTACCTGTTTGACGAAAAAACTGTCTCAGTCTTTTGTCAAGTGGTTTATACTTTTGATACATTGTATAAGGAGATGAAGCTAGAAATAAGAAAACGCTAGAGCAACCTACGAAAAAAAAAAATCAACAACGGAAATATAACCCAAAATTCTCAAACACGGTTTCTGAAAGTAAGTTGGCCCAATTTCAACCATATTGGTGCACAGGCAATAGATATTTTGCGGCATCTTGGCTGGATTAATATTATGACAGATCATAACACCGAAGCTAATTTCAATGTTGATGCATACCACAGAAGAAACAGCAATAGTTCTTTGACACAGAAGGAAAGTTTATGTTACATGGAGCAGGGAATAATATCTTCTAATACACTGGTCACCCTATAAATCTACTTAAATACAAAAAGAATCCATACATTCTGCACCTGCTCAAAATGCTTGGACCCTGTTTATTATGGTGATAAACATTGACAAAATCACGAGAGAAATCACAACGTACGAAACAGAAAATATCACTTGGATTCTTAAAAACATTGGAGGATAACAGCCATATTTCAGCTTGATGTGCAAGACGAACACAAACTGATAATTTCCTCTCCTTTGGAAGCATCTTAAGCTAAGTAAACTCAAATCAAAACAAAGCTGTAAACGTTTTTGCAGATAACAGTGAATTACATAATAATTTATAATTTGACTTGTGTCATGACATGTACTTGTAAGCAATTTATCAAGTGCGACGAGACATGTAGCTAATGCTTCTCTTATACTTCTCTGGTGTTTATGTGTATGCATGTTTGACGTGTTTTACCTTTTCACTCCAAAACTGAATGATAATGGTGGTTCTAACTTTTGAATCTGTGGATGAAATCCTATGGTGGGACCATTCAAATGAAACCTCTCCCCCTGTTTTTCAGCATTTGTTACTTTAGCCCCATCTGGGAGTGAAATGGTTAAGTAAACACCCAAATGCTACTTAAACTATTTGACATGCATTCGGAAGTGGTTTTCTGCAATAATTGGCCTGGTTGATTACAAAGTGCTAACACATGGTCGTATTTTAATCAGATTTAATGGCATTTAACATATTACTCTTCTTTATTATTAATATACAGTTGTGTTGTCAAGGAGAGAATACACTTACAGGCCCTTAGCAAAACTCTGTCAGGTGACATGACCTTGTCAATCATAAAAAGTGATAAGTCTTACAAATTAAAGTTCAGAACACAGAGTGCAATAAGATTAGCAACACTGCTATTTGGGTGGACACTCACATTGACTGAGAGATTAGTGATATGTGACAGATTTTAAAAAGATTGGAAAAGTGTTGTCTAGAAACAAGGCTTTGCCATCCAATATACAAACCTTTTACCCTGTTTAAACTTTTTAAACCAATATAAAAGACAAATAAATAACATCAAGAATTTATTCCCTTATTAATAAGGAAATTATCTGCCTTGTCTCACTCACTTCATCATTGTCACTGTCCTCACTGGATATTTCCTCCCCCTCGGATTCTGGCCCCTCTGAACTCTGTAACAAAAGCAAACGAAAAATTAATGTGATGTTGTCATGAAGTAAACGATACAACATTAAACATTTTCATCATTTCCTTGAAAGCTTTACTCACTCTCAAGGAAAACCACACTAGTTACATTTGATGGGAGAGGAAAGCAGCCATATCTCTGTAACTGCCCCAAAATGAAAGTAATAAAAACGGCAAATGCAAATTTATATAGGCCAAATTATAGACCAAATTATAATATACCACTAAAAGCAAAATGTGAAAAATAATTTTTTACAATTTGTTATTATCTCTCACATGATAATATTCCTATGTAAATGTACTATCTTATCTTATTACAGCCTCATTACAATACATCGGCTTGCAGGTAACAACGTTCGCCAATAAAAACGGTAATATTATAGTTATAGCAGTGTTGCTTGCTATCAGAAGCAAAGTAGATACTACTGTAGAGTTCTGAAAGTAACAACCCTCCCCAAAAGTAGCGACCCTTCAAAAGTAGCGATATAATTTCAAAGGTGTTAGGAAATCCCGAAAGTAGGGACCCCCAGAAAATAACGACCCACAACAGAAGTGACATTTTTTTTCCTTTGTTTCCTAGCTCTAATAATAACTTATTCATTGGCTGGAGACAAAGGAAATTCTGGTTTAACCTGCAACATCTATGCTACAAGAAGTACACTTCTCAAAGAAAGCGATGACACACAAAAGGTTAATAGTATCAAAATGGCCTGCAATTCTGCATTTAACTATAACAATAGTCACCTAGTGAAGCTGGGCAACACTTTCTTTCCAAGATGCATACTGAAATCCACTAATGACTAAAATCTTACCCTAAAGAAAAAGGTGCAAGGTACATTGTAAATTTTAAAGGAAAATGAAGTCCATGGTACCCTGTATGTGTCCACCTTACCTCTTGTTCTTGGTCAGATTGAGATTCTTCTGATGAATTCTAAAAAGTGCAAACAAAAGCAGTCGGTAAATGAAGAAAAATAACTTATTACTTGCAAACACAGCTCACAGGTTTTGGTGGCTTTCAACAAGTGGCTGTGCCAATACATTTTAGGTGGTGGGGGAGCGCAATAGTAATGAAAAGAGCACAGAAACACTGTATCGCTACCATTACTAAGACGAGCACTAAAACTAACTACCAAACCCTAATGGTTTGGCCAGTGAAAATTGAACACTTGTGCTTTTTTAAATTGTCAGTTTCCCCTAGTTCAGGGCTACTAGCTCAACTCATTTCAAAATCACCTTTCAGTGACTAAGGAATATCAAATTTTCACTATACATAAATTCTTGGTTGAGGCACTTTTCACACACATTTTATGAGGGTTTAATACCCACAAAACAAGGACACAGGTAGCAAAATTGGTAGCTTTTGCTGCAGTTTCATTTGAAAAAAAAAACATTTTTATAATTGCAATGCCAATCAATATGGTTGCAGCTTGCAGCGACGTTAACTTGCAGCTTGGAACACTAAATAGCAACAAAGCACTAAACAAAAATCTAAAACCGTATAATTTCTGTCGATACTTCACAACAAATTCTTAACCTTTCCAACTTTTACCGATCGGAAAGGAAAAAGCAGATTTTCTTAAAAACCCTTCCAACGTGGCAATATATTTATCTTCAAAAACAATTCTCTGCAAAACTTGACTACATGTATATGCAGTACAATCTAAATTTCTCAAACCCTTGGATTCACAAACCTCCCAATAATTCAAGCTAAAATTGGTTCTCTTCCCCAATCCAACACTGTAACTTTACCCTGGATTTTTCCAACCTCCCTATAATTCAAACCAATTCTCTTTTTCCCAAGAGGTTCAAAAAAGGGGATTCTACTGTAGGTTACTCTTCTCCTCTGTAGCTGTGAAGTGCATACACTTTCTGCTGGCTGAAAGACGCCAACATAGATATCTTCCTTAAGCAACCTTGTGCTGAAATACATGTATGTCCTATACCTCTTAGATGCCATAAATATCTTTTAATGTGGTAGAAAAGTGACCAGTTACCCACTCCTGGGAAGACCTTTGATAACAAATGCCCTTTACAAATTAGCTTGGAATTAATTTACGGGATGAAAATGATGCTACTGGGAAAATATCACTGAGTCTAAAAATCTCGGCTTTAACAAAAGAGTCTTAGAATCTCAGGCACGTTAAATGATGACCCGTCTTGAGGTGTGAAATTTTGATAATTTTGATGAGAAATTTTGATAAAAAAGTTTGATCTAAATCAAAAATCGAAAGCCATTTAAAAAAAATGTTGAGAGTGGCGGCTAAGCGGTAAAATATGCTCTTCCAACGCAAGAATTTATGCATCGAAGAGAGCGGTGCTCCTTTCAAAAGTCAAAGAACACGCGAGAAAGTGAGCTAAGATTGGACGCGTGATCTCAAGATCCGCTTAAAAGAAGGTCGAATAAAACATATATCTGCAATAACTTACATCACGGTTGTCAACAGGAACGTTATCAGTCGACATCCTCGTCTCCGAAGCGGTGGAAGAAGAAGCAGAAGAGTCGAAGCCACCGTCCGCCATGATGTTCTCCGCTGCCAGCAAAATAGACCTTGGTAACCAGGTCCCTGATGACTTGTAGGAAAATGTGACGTCACTGTAGGAATCTGTAGGAATTGGTAGGAATCCACCACCATATATGGCACGCAAAAAATTTAACAATTCTGTTACGCTTTTCGCGGTACACGTTGTGTTTGGAGATACTCAACACTGATTATCAACTATGGCATAAGACTCAAATAAGTGTAGACAAAGGAACTTCAACAGGAATAACAATTAAAAATGTTAGTGTAAGAAAGCTTTACCATAAGTACAACGATTCAACTTTACTACCAGAATTTATGTATTACCATAGAATAATAGTTAATTTTCGAAAGATGACACGTGGATTATGAAGCTTTCTTCACATTTTGGTTAATATACCACAAGATGGAACTGACCTGGCGATTTATCCGAGACAGTTTTCGGGGGTTTATATAATTACTTATGGTATTGTGGGTACAGTTAGCAATATCGATCCTGATAAAGTTTACGATTATCACACTGCATTTGATATCAAACCAACAGAAGTGGTGTACAATGTTGATATCAACGCAAATCAAAAAGAAATTAAAAATATCAAACTTGACCGACAAAATGATAATAGTGCTGCAACAGTTGCATTAGTAAAAGAATTAGCTCCTTTTACTAAAAATGCTTTGTACAGATTATACTTTAGTGAGGTCTATGACTTTTCTAATGCGGATAGTTATGGAATAAATATAGGTTCATCAGGAGTTATTATTAATTCTGTAAAGCCTAATATTACACTACCACCAAATAAAGACCTAGATAAAATAAAAAAAGATGGTTTAAATGTTAATGGTTACGATGTTACTTTTTCTCCTACACATTCTTCAAAATCTACTTTATGTATTGTTTTTACTCATTGGAGAAATAGGAGTTTTACCCTAACTAAATATTTATCAACAAACAATAATATTTTAGTAAAATTAAATTATGATAAAACAAACAATAAAGTAACTTTAACTGTCAATAGAGAAACTCAAAATTTTACCATGCTAAGTGAATTTAGTGGAAAAATAATTGTATTATGGCTAACAGAAAATTTTAATTCAGATGTTACAAAAGTTAAAATAAGTAACTATAGCTCAACATTAACTATACCAGCTGTTCACTACAATGTTAATCAACGTTGGAAGTTTACAACTGAAGATGGAGTGTTATATAAATTAATGTACTCTCCAAACTTTTACGACGACGACTCTGAGCAATATCACAAAGTAATTCTTCAAGAAAAGTTAAACGGAAGTTACATAGTATAGTGGGGGGGTACCTCCCCCCCTGCTGATAATATAAACATAAGAATAAAATGAAGGATATCTTTGAATTTAATCACATAGATAAATCTCTGTCAGAATCAGAGGTTAAAACCCTCAAAGACTTTTATAAACACTACCACAAGAAATACTGGTGTTTTAAGAAATCGTATAAGAGTTATAAATTTCTTGATGATGTTTTTACAATTTCTGGGTTATGCTTGGTTGCGATTGGAACTATTTCTGGTGGAATAACCCTAAACCCTGTTGTTCTTGGAGTAGTAAATGGAGCTGGATTAATAGTGACAGGAATAGGAAAGAAAAATAATTATAAGAGAAAAATTGAGATGACAAGGATTGCATTCACTAATTATGAAAAAGTACTTGTTGAACTGCGGTCAGCTCTTCGTGGAGATGAGTTTAATAAACAAGAGTTTGTTGATCACATGAAGTTGATAGATGAAATGATAATCGACCAAACACCTATAGCAGATAGGTTTGTTAGTAGGTATGAAAAAAAGTTTGGTCTAAGTAAACAGTGATTTTAATATCATTTTGATATTAAAATCTATCCGGTTTTGAGTAATTTATAACTATCCCACCAATGTTCATAGTTATCTAAAGTTTGTGGTGAAATCTTAAGATAAACTAGTTTGCTCGCTTTTCTCGATTCACCCCCCATCTCATCCAAAAGTTTTTTAATTAAATATTCAATACTTATCATTCTCTTTCTGTTGTATTCTTTGTTTAGTATTTCCATGATGTGATTATCTATTTCCATTAACTTACTATAAAGTTCGTTTTTTTGTTCATTGGTTAGGTTTATTCTTTTAGAAATTTTATTAACCTTTTTTTCATAGTAATACTTACGTTGATATACGCTCTTTTTTCGATAATGCAATCTATCAAAATCTTTATTATCGTAAAAGCCTAATACATGACCGTTTGCTACTCCACATTCATCACAAATTTTATAACCGTAATCAATGGTAAAAGATGATCTGTTTTCACAATTACTACATTTAGCTTTTAAATTTGATTCATCTGAGGAATTAATACTATAATCACCCAATATTCCAAGATATTTCTTTATTTGGTCTTTTGTATATGACATTTATTATTAAATTTTATTAAATTCACTTATCTTAAAGCTTTTGTTTTTACCTTACCCAAAAGAACCTCACGTTTATCATCTTCCTTACTTAGAGCTACTTTGTTAACTTCTTTTGAATATATATCATGATTTTCACTTCTTATTATATTCATTTTTCTCATTTCTTTTTTACCCGAAAATAAACATTGAACATAGTCATCAAAATCTAATTTCTTTTTCACAACATTTTTCTTAATTCCTTTACACTTTCTTACCTCTTTATCCTCTTCTATTCTAAAACTGTAAAGTTTTGGTCGTAATCCAACAAAACAAGTTATTTGTTTTCCTGCTACTTCATCTTTAAACATCCCAATTACTTTTTTGTTAACTCCTGTCAATATCCCAGATTCATGATTGGGAGGATAATCAGAAGTGTCAAACTTTTTTTTTATATCACGAGATATATCCTTATAAAAATCATCTGTGTAAATATGGTACATAAGGCTATCAGTATCAGTAAACAATAACTCAGCTTTATTTTTGTATTTCTTTCTGATGTAATTATAATGAAAATCAAACATTAATGTTTTTGATAAATCAAGAATTGCTTGACCAACATATACTGGTTTGTCAAAATAAACTTCTGTTTTTTTCATATGAACAGCTATAAGATTTTTATCAAATATCGTAGCCCTTTCAAAGTTTGGACGACTTGTTAGTTTAGCAGCTTTCTTACGATTATCAACGAGTTCTATATTTTGTCTTTTTCGTATATTTTCTATTGTTTTTCCGAACACTGAATTATTCATAAGTTTGAAAAAGTCTTTCTCAAAACTATTAACTGCTGTTTTTCGAAGTTCTGTGTTCTTTCGTATATATGGTTCCATCCAAGGTCTTTGGTAAAAAGATATTCCTCTATGAACCGCAGTTATTCTCATTCCCATTTCCAGATATTGTCTAAGATTTCGATAATGAACAACATAGTTTTTTCTTGGTTTAAAATGACAAATTAGTTTTTCAACACCATTAACAATCATCTTCTTAGGTGCTAGAGGATAGTCATTATGTGTTTCCCATAGTTTTGAAGGATATTCCAAATCGACTTCAAATATATATCCTTTTCTTCCACGATTTGACATACTATGATTTGTTTTTTCTAAAATTTCCATTAGTGACTCTTTTGTTAGGTTTCTCATCCATTTAAATCCATGTGTTGGAAGATTTTGAGACATTGCCCAACCATAAAGATTATTCGCATCTAGATATTGAATAAAGGAGGTCTCCTCATCAGGATTATAAGTTTTCATGTATTTGTTATTCGCTTCTGCATATCTTTTCCATATATGTGTTATTCCACCACGAATACCTTTTTCAATCATCATTAACATACCATAATCATGTAGTAACTGTAATTCCTGCCCTGTTTCTTTGAGACAAGCATCCCAAGCTAAACCTGGAGATGTGTAATAATGTGCTGGATCTAACTTGTAATGTTTTAGACAAGTTTTTCTAAAGTTTTCAAATACATCTGACAAAAGTAGGACATCAGACTTTAGGTAAAGATCGTGATAATCTCTTAATGATTTACATTTAAAAGTATTCCACACGTTTATTGCGTGTTGGTAATCATCTTCGGTTATGTCTTCCTCATTTAGTTTCAAATAAAATTCTTCTTTTGGAGGTAATTGTGTTTCGGACAGTTTTTCAAGCGATGAAACATAATCATAAGGATAAACTCCCTTCCGAGTAAGAAGATCTACATTTTTCTTAAATTCTCGTTTTGTATCATGGAAATCATCCGGTTGTAAATTTGAAACAAGATTAGCAAGTGATGTTTGAAGAAACTTAAATGAATCTATAAAACGAATTTCAAAATATAAAGTCATCATTTGACCGGTTTTTTTAGACCTGTACTCATCAACTTTAATCTTTTTAGAAAAGGATATGTATTTTTCCTCTGTTGAAGGAATACAATTTAAATCTCCTGGTAAACTTGCAAGTTGTTTTATAAACAAATGAGCATCATAACCTTGAAGATTATGAAATATAACTGGAAGAACTAAAGGTTTCCTGCAATTAAGATTACAACTGTTATGAGCAGCACCTAGGTACTGACCTGTAAAATGACAATGATCTCTAACTTTGTCTTCCAATAATTCTTTGTTACAAATATGACAAAATTCCGCTTTGTCAAATGATTTTTGTTCGTCTTTGGATAGTATAAGAGGTTTTGGACTGCGATAAAAATCATTATAAATACCTCTTGTTGCTTCTGTTAGTTTTTCTACGAATATTTTTGCTATATCTTCATCTTCTTCTGTTTTCGAAAAAACAATTGGTTTGATTTTTTTATCAACCACACCTGTAATAAAAATACAAAATCCTGATGGTTCGTGTTTTTGGTAATTGTACTTATAAGAATCTTCTGGATTAGAACAGCAAGTATTCATTGGTTTGGTAAAACACTCAAAATCCGCATAAGCTACAAAAGGAATAGGAAGTTGTTTGTGATGATTTTTGAAATGTAAAATCGATCCTGATTTTGGCATTTTCACAGAAACTGTCTCGTTATTCGAACAATATAAAATATGTTTTTGTAATAATTCTTCTTTTGTAAAATGAGTAAAACATCTCTTACAAATATGAATTGGCTCATTTGTTCTATAAGTGATTTGTGACCGAAAAAGACGAGAAAAGTTTTTAATCAGAGAATAATGATATTTTCCTTTCTCTTCATAAAGAAATAAATCTATTGAGTTTTGACGGTCACGTAACGCCATCCGGAGGGGATAAAACTTATTGTCGTGAGTAACTGAAAATACATTTATACCTGGTAAATCTGGATTAATAGTTTCAAATTTGGTAATGTCTCTGATTTTAACTGGAAAAGTAAATCCCTTAGGAATATTAAGCTCATGCTCATATTGTTCTAAATCTTTCAAACGACAATCATTCTTTTCTCTTGGATGAAGATAACGAAGTATAGACCACAAAAAACATTTAGAATCTTTATTTCGAATACTAACAATTGCTTTTTTTCTCATAATCCAATCTGGAAGAGGAATATAAGACGAACCTTTCATTGGAATAAATTTAACAGTGTGAATTTCAAGTTGAATAACTTCTTTAAAATACCACCCACTACCATTTTGTTGATAAATATTAATCTTTTCTGTGATGTTACTGATAATTTTTTTAAGTAAATCTTTTACATCAGTTGATTTGAGATTAATATAAGTATCTGAATGAAAATATGCTTTGCTTTGTCCTGAATTTTAATTATATGTTTATCATCGAATTCCTCTTTTTCCATCATACAAACCAAAACAAACTTTACTTTGATATTTCGATGATTTCTAATAAAATCTTTAAGAATAGTTATTTTATTTCCAAAAAACTCTAAGGGAGTAATACCAGGTTCTCCCTTTATTATATGTTTTTTAGCAAATTCATCTAAAGCTGATTTTTCTTATACAACTCCTTGATTATGCTCCTTAATAGCTCTCTCAAGAGCCTCACGAAAATAAGGAGGGGTATCTTCTGGGATTTCTTTATTTTTAATACATTCTTGAAAATACTCGTCAAATGATTTTATCTTTTTGGGTTTTAATTTCTTTTTGGGTTTTAATTTCTTTTTCCATTCTTTTTTGATATTAACACCTTTTTTTATTTTTTCATTGAGTTTATCTACTTTTCTAATATCACGAATTATTTTTTCTTTTTCAGTTAATTCTTTATAATTTTCCCTTATTATTTGTTTTTTCGGGTTTAATATTTTTTTTAATTCAGCCAAAGATAAACTCTTGTAATCTTTATCAGTTATAAGCGATTTTTCAGCCATTTCCCTTTATAATCTTATTATATTAATTTCTTTAAATCATTTTATTTTTCTGATTCAATTTTAGCTAACAGCTTTAACCAGAAAATAGTTGATAACAGTGCTTAATCAGCTAATGACGTAAATGATCAGAAAAAAAAGTCAATGATAGAAAATAACCAGAAAAAAGTACAAGACGTAAGACACAAATTAATTGAACAATGACAGAAGATAAACTCAGAAATTAATTTAAAAAAGTACAAAAATTTGTTAGTCTAAATTCCGTCATTGAAATTTTGGGGGAGATGACGGAAATAATTGAATAATGACAGGGAAAAAGTACCAAGTGAGTGAGTACCATGGCATCATTATATAACTACTAAGTTAAATCTTTAAATACATCATTTCCTTCTATTTCAGACCAGATAACACGCTTTGCAGTTTTGTGTATAAAATTATATTGATAGAGGTGTTTCTATTACTTTCCATGTCCAAGCAAGAAGCATTATTAAAGATCAAATAATTAAAGTGGAACCACTAAACGTGTCACCCTGTAATCTTATGTAAAAGCTGAGCAATTTTCAGGGAATCAAGGAATTCAAATAGAATAGTTCCAGTGTTGAATCTTCCCCAATGCTAACTTGAAATGTATTCTACTAACACAGAAAAAGTCACTTTGTTTGTTGGACGCCAACAAAAACAGTGATTTTTTTTGGTAAAAAGGGACACAAAGTTCATACCAGATCCTATTTAATTGAAAGGTTTCTGGAGTGAGGCACAGGCTAGAAAATGCTGACCTAAAACACAAACCTAGACCATCTCAAAGCAAAGGCTCAGAAGATAAGCGACCACTCAACTGTCTTGAAGACACTAGCATCCTGTAGAAGTGAAAATGCAAAGGAACGTGAAGATTTCAATATGTGTTGGAAGAAAGCTTAGGCGACACACAAACGAAAGTGCCGATGCTGTGGGAAACTGCAAGTCCTTTGGAAAGTTAATCCTTGCCAAAAGAAGTTTCCTTTTGAAACCACTTAACCATCTTCCAAACTCTTCCAATCATACACATATGGCTCTGGTCAAATGACAAATTCCTGCTATTGGACACTTTTCTAGAATCCATTTAAAATTATTTCATGCGACAAATAACACTCCAAAGAACACACTTTGATGATACAACTCCAGTTATAAATACACGATATCACTTTTGGATTAAATCCTTTCTCAAGGTGAGAAATTCATGGTTGTACATAATTTTGTTTATTCAGGTCAAAATGTGATATATTAATCTAAAGTATGCATCAAATTTTTACTTGTCAGTGTACACTGTCACCTACTGTTAAAAACAACCAGGCCTTTGAGTTAAGTCATAATAAAGATTATCCAGTGAACCTGTAGTGTTTTCTCCCTTAAAATGACTTGACTTTAGAAAGTGTATTCCCAAACCCCTTTGCTTCCTTCTTCAATGGTTGGTCCAACATGTACACTAACTTGTGACACTTATAGATTACAAATATATGGGTCTAAGACCCCTGCCCCAGCACTCCTGTTAAAGCTCTGGTACAATCTGCTGTATGGAAAAAGATGGTACCACATGCAGAACTATGGGTAAATCGACCAACCAAATGAAAACAATGGTTTTGTCGTGACCGAAAGTGTTGCAAAATGCAAATGACTTTCACATAGAAACAATGCCCTAAAAAGGCGTTGTGGGAGGTTTTGACCACAAAAGTTAAGTCCACAAGACACTTAAGTTTCACAGTTTTCCAGAGAACGAAAAAATTAAGTGAAAATTGATATCTGCTGTCAGTTTAAGGACAAGTTGTAAGTGGCATGTAAGCCATTGTGTGTGTAGCTCTCATTTTCACGGTCGACACATGTATGGATCTACCAATATTCCAGCCATTTTCGCGAGAAGAGACCTCAAAATGTGGCCAGTCGACATCTCTCACCTTCTGGTAAAAGAAGCGAAAATCAGGAAAAACAGGCGAGCAACAAAACAGTGCTTTTAGCTGAGGAATCTCTGGACCTACAAATACGTACAGTTTCAGAAGAAGTCGATAAAAAAAGATGTGAATGTCAGCAGGATATTAAAAGGCTACATGAACGTATAAGAAAAGTCAGAAGAGTAAAGAGAGAGGATTGAACGTTGCCAATTTATAGCTTCCGACTCAGACATGAGATTTTACACCAGACTACCCGATTACCTGACCTTCTCGCTTAATTACAGCAATGGATATACAAATGCTTCTTAAGACCCTACTTACATTGTATCTAGGGGAAGGCCTCGAAAACTTTGCGAAATTCATGAGTTTTTTTTGACAATGACAAGATTGCATCTTGGATTTCTGGAGAAAGACCTGGCAGATCGTTTCGACGTCACTCAGCAGGAAGTGTCAGAAATTTTTTCAACCTGGGTTGATTGGATGTTTGATTGCCTTGGGCAACTTAGCTTTTCTACAGACAGGGAATCCATAAAAAGACGTTTATCGGAATGCTTTTAACCTGATTATGAGGATGTTTATTTAATTATCGATTGTATAGAACTACTTATAGAGAAGCCATCACAAGTGATTCAACAAAGTGCTAAAAGTAGGCTTGAGTGGTCAGGTGAGCAAAATCCAAGATGCAATAACCGGTATCTATCCAGAATAGAAATTTTAGACAAGCTTATCGAGGAGAAAAGAAGCAGAATTAACTGTGAAAAGCTCATAGGAAGACTTAGTCCAGAAATGGTTGAGATGGCGTCTGAAGATCAAGCAGATCTTGTACAGATGATGTGTAGCATCCCTGGAAAAGAAGTCCGGGATGACTTGAAGGTACTCTGGAAGCAGCAATAGAAAATAGCATCAACTGCCTCTGGTCGAGGGTACCATTGGCATCCAAAGTAGGTATTATATGGATATAAAATAATATATAACTGGTGGTGGCTAGCACTCATTCGGCCCACTCACCAGGGCCTGTAGAGGGGTGTTAGTTTTTACATTATTACTCAGCCAGGAAGTCTTGTTTGCACGTCCATTTTTGTTATGAAAACTTTAAAACAATTAAAATAATACAAACAGTCTCTTTTTCTGAGTCGATTGTTTTAAATTTCCAGTAACTTGTATATGTTGGGGTAACAGAAGATGTACTGCAAGCAACAGACTGCCTCTTAATAAGTTTAGTGAAACAAAAAACCCTTAAACATATAGCTTTAAAACAATATAAAAAATGAAAGAGAGAAAGAATAAAAGTTTGTTTCAAGATATGTGAATAACCCTTTAACGTTCACTTTATATTTATTGATTGAAAGAGTGTTATCTAACAATTGTATACTGATGTCAGTGGGATGCTTACTCCGCTTAACAGTGTGGATTTCTTCTTGATGAAGGTCTTGTTATAAGTACTATTCCATTTCAGTTAATCTCATTTTTCAACAGGGTTGTAAGGTTATGCGAGGAGTTGTATAGCAAGAATGCACATACCCTTGATCCACTGCGAAAATTCTCACATCTACCGAGTAACCACACCATCAGGTAATTATTGTAGAGTTCCATCCAGCATCCAAATGAAACATTCTTTGACACTACGCTAATATATAGATTTTGGCAAACCTAAAAGCGGAGCTCCCGACTTCATAATAATAATGATAATAATAATGATGATGATTATGGTGATGATAGTGAAGATCGTTTTATTCACACTGGTGCACAATAAGAAATAACCTAATTGTAAATACTGATACCCGCCAGTAGGTTTTGAGATGTAGTCTACCATGCAGCCGGATTTGTCACAGCTGTGTGGGACACTGGTCAAAGTGTGATATTTTGCCCCTTGGATATGGTGTCAGATTTTTCCTTCGTTCCAAAAAATGCATTAGAAAAAGCCTTCGATTATCCCTTGGATTAGAATTCTAGAAACCAAATGTTATGTGACTTAGTTGTGTACACAACAGTTCATCTAACAAGGGCATTACCGAAACGCGCCCATTCAAAAATGTCGATCGTGAAAATGCAAATAAGCGAAAAATGACATTAATTTAGTGTCAATCAAGAAATCCCCTGGGTATGTCCCTTTCCTGGTTATTGTTCCTTCTCAGACAGCCACGACATTTGCCTATTCTTTGATGAAGAATAGAACTTCACGCGACTAACAATAGCTCAGTCTGTTTAAAAACTGTCTAAATTTACTCCGAATTAGCATGTGACTTTTTGGTGTTAAATGCTTCAAAATTGAAAAATCCTCTATGACTGTTGTTGATTTTGCCGTAAATAATTCAATTCACTGACTTAAAACGAATTTTTACCTTTTACAAACTTCAAGGTTCGAATCGATCAATAAAATATGAGCGCAACGGATGCATTAATAGTTTGTTTACATTTTGTTGCGGGTTTTGGATAATATTATAAACCTTAAAAGTTACAGGCAAACTTGACAAAAAAGCTCTCTCACTTACACTCTTCATTTAAGATATTGATTTTAGCACAGTATAAGGCAAAATTAAGAGCGATACTTTCTTTAAGAATGCTATAACTACATATTTAATGGCCAAACCTAAATAGCGATCTAATCCGTCTCTTGAAAACAACTACAATACCGCTTCTGATAATAATATCTATAAACGCTGCAAACATTTTTAATTCAATCTTATCGAGTGATTTTCGTCAAGATGAGTTTTTAAGTGAAGAATACTTTGGTTTCTGATTAGCTCTAACTGTTTTGCCATCGAAACAATTCGCACGAGACTACCGAATTCGCGAGGGTTTTATGTTAGTACACGAGGAAGAAAAATGCTTCTCTTTGCATATTAAACATTTTCTTCTTTGTAGAAATGACAAAGACATTCCAACACTTAAAACAATGACAACCTACTTCTATTGTTTCTGCATTGTCTCTTGAAAGTGTGAGAATAGTTAAGCGCTGTGAGGTTCATAAGAGACTGAAAACGACGGTAGTCTTTGAAACCTCGTTTTTGCTCGCAAAGCAAAAAGGGTACCCCTCTTTTCACGGGCGACGTTTTCCAATGGGCATGTTTCTGTAATGGAAACAGTCCCCTCATAGCCATAAACAACACAACCGAAACGAGAATTTTGGTTACATGACATCGAACGAGTCTATAGGTTTGCGCGTTTCGCACATGCAATGTAAGCGTGTTAAAAAAATACCACAGGGTGCTTTCATGAAAGAAATATTCAGTGACAATTCGGGCACGTGAGTAGGAAAAACATTCTCTGTGGTAAAAAAAAAGGCAGTCCATGAGCTGGGCCGAGTCTACTGGAGTTGAACGCCAGGGATTAAAGCCGCCAGCTTTTTTTAACCAAAGTTACATATGTTTGCCATCATTTAATCACGGGTTTTCAAAGGTTGCATGATTCATCATAACCAGATACTGAGGACCAAATTAGGGAAGAATTTTGTGATATGTGTAAACTTAGCTAAAACCTTGGCAGAACAATAAGAAGACAATTCAATGCCAGCACTGGCTACTATTTCGAGAATACTAGCCAAAATGAACAAATTAACCTTTATCTCTTAAACTTGCCGATAAAGATGATCGCTGATTTCAGAACTGGTGCACAATAAGTTAAAACCAAGTTGTAAAGATTGAATATCGAGGTTTGGTATTTTCCCTCAAAGTAGACAGACACCTCACGAACAAATCTAACCCTTCTTTTGTGCTTACCAACCTCCCGCATGCATCCAAAACAAAGGCGAGATTCTACTCCATTCAATCTGCACAATGGGGATGTTTAGGTGGATAATAAAACTGAATGACTCAAATAAATCCTTTGGAGTATGTAGCCTGTTCCAGGCGTTGAGGTGGGGGAGTGCAGCGCGAAGTAAGAGAGCGGAAAAAAAAAGGAGGATCAGAGGAAGAGAGAGGAGGAAAGAGAGGAGGTTCCTTTGCTCTCGCCCCCTACCCTACCCCCGGTTGTTTTTTGTGCTCACATCTCTTTGCGCAATCGCCACCATCTGAAAGCCTGGAACAGCCAAGGCATCACAGCAGTAACCTGCGATCAGCGTTTTTTTTCTTTTCAAGATAAAGGGATAATAGGGAGAGGGTATGATCTCAGGCTATCGCGGATTCGCGGAATTCGTGGCAGTACTGAGTCAGTCATGGTTCTGTCCTTGAAAGAACAGGGGCGCACACACGGATGGTACGCGTGAAAAAGGCAGGAAAACGCGTGCAAGATAAAAGCCTGTTGACAGAGACGAGAGGGCAGAGAAGGAAGATACATGGTGTTGCTTTTTTTCCTTTGGTTTTGTTGCTGTTGTTCCAAACACAAAACTAGCAAAAAAGTGCGTTATCTTCCCAAAACTCTTTAACACAGCTTGTTGATAAATATTAAACCTTTTTGGATGTATTTACAACTTATTCTACTCGGATTATACTGTTACCTTGTGTAACCACTCTCTTTATTTTGCCTTCTCAGAAAAAAGAAATGAATTCGAGGTAAGCTTACTATTAAAAACGTATTAAGGCAATTCAGTGTAATTGTTTCTTTGTTGTTTTTTTTCCTTGAACAATGCTGATATTTCTGTCATTTTTACATACAGCATATTCTCTGTTGTTTTTTAAAGTGAAAACGAAAGTGCAGGGATAGAGGAACCAGTAAGAAAAACGTTTAAATTTCAGATGACTTTATAAGCTTACTTACACTCAACTTAAGTATAAACTAGGCTTATTAAGTCTTATAATACCACCATAAATTTATTTAAACCTAAGAATACATGCATACTCAGTTATTTTGTTACAAGTTCATAAAGAGATTTCTATAAATTACTTTCACTGGACATTTCATACTTAAAACTTACTCGCACTTAGTCAGTTTGAATTCATTTTGTACTAGGAATCTACCTTTTGATACTCACTTACTCACTTTATCAACGACATGAGCTATTGCTGATATTACACAGTAACGGTATCGTTCACTAACTTAATGAAATAATAGGGTAACGTATTTTCCCCTTTTTTAATAATTCCAGATGAACCAAGGCATCGGAAGAGGTCGTCCACCAGGTTGGCATTCTCAGTAATAGCTTCGGATAATCAATTACCAAAATATTATAATGTGTTGCTAGGTTTATACCATGCTGAATGATTAGTACAGTTATTTATTACAAAGCACATTGACGTGCAGCTGTTATTGATAAGGTGTTTCCTTTTTTTTAGCGGCGACCTCTGGTTCCTCGAGCACTTATAATCAATTATCTAAATAGTGTTTAATTGTGTTGCTATGTTTGTAGGATGCCTAATGATCAGTTAAAAGCACATTGACTTGCAACTTTTATTAATAAGGTCTTACCGTTTTTCTGCAGGGAGTTCTGGGTACCAGAATCCTCCAAGTGAGCATTCCCAGTCATAGCTCTTAAACTCAATCATATGAATAGTGTATGATTGCATAGTGTTGCTAGGTTTATAGTACGCTGAATGATTATCACAGTTGTTTATTGCAAAGCACATTGACTTGCAACTTTTATTAACAAGGTCTTTCATTTTTCTTTGCAGCATTCAATCCTC